TATAGGCCAGAGCTAAAGGGGAAGCAGTGTTAGTCAGTGCCCTCTGTTAGGCCTGGCCAGGGATGCTGAGCTGTGTTAGGAATTTTGCTCTAACTAAAGGAAACTTTCTACACTTTAAAACTTTGGTTTTTGCAATATCTTTTTATTCACAGATAGTGTACTTGGAGACATTAATGTTCTGGCACTTTCCATACTTGGGAATTGCTTTGTCAATTCTTATTTTAAATGAGTCAAGACATTTCCATTACTTCTTTTCAGAGATGCTCTACCAGTGAAATTGTCCACTTTATTGCACTCCATCTTATTTTTCTCCATCTTGATTTATTGTGGCTCTCAGCAGTTCGTCCCCTTATTCTTTCTACTGGACCATCTGAAGTGTTTCTCCTTCTGTTGGAACCAGGTAATAACCATGTCCTAGTTATTTTCTTCAGCAAGAGAGACCGTGGAAGAGTCCTGACTTCTGATATTTTTGTTATTCTTCAGTTGCCATTTACTGAGCTCTGCCAGCATGCTGAAGGGCTTTATAGGACAGAAACACACACTCATTGCCCAAGTATCTTGCAATCTGATTTCATACCAGGCAGCCAATGCAGACATACTCATGCATGGCATTGGGAGAAGATAGCCGAGTGTCACAGGCATGAGACGACTGGCTTCTAACCACAGACCACTTTGATCCAATGCTAGGTTTAGGAATGAAAGAAGCTGTCATCTGTGTTGCTGATACTTCCATACATAGCAGATTCTCCCTCCTTCAAAAGTGGGAACTAGTCTCCAGGGAGACAGGTGGTGTTTCAGCCTTGTCAATATCCAAGAAAACAAGTCAGATATTCACTCATTCTTGCTTATGCCTTAAGGCTCCCCACTCCATCCTGTTATGCCATTATATATATGTATATATATATATGTGTGTGTGTGTATATATATAACTGATTTCAGAGAAAAAGGAAGAGGGAGAGATAGAAACATCAATGATGAGAATCATTGATTGGCTGCCTCATGCACGCCCCCCACTGGGGATCGAGCTCGCAACCCCGGCATGTGCCCTTGATTGGAATCAAACCTGGGACCCTTCAGTCTGCAGGCTGACGCTCTATCCACCGAGCCAAACCAGCTAGGGCCTGTGATGCCATTCTTAATAAGTAACCTCATCAATCTGATTCCACAAACACTACAAGGCTGTCAACTCCAGGTTAAACCCACAGCAGCCCAGGCCCTTCCACAACACAGCCCTCAAGTAGAAGGCCTGGTCCCTGCCCTCGGGAGCAAATGGTCCAGGTTCAGGATCACGTATAAACATTTGCATCTTCTTTGAAACACTATTGTTTTCCCAAATTTTTGACTTGCTATAGTTTTCCTCTGGTCACTTTCTATCCTGTCTTTCAATGGTGCCATCAGCCAGCCTGTTCTCAAGGGGACCCCCTGGACATGGAGCCAGCTGTCCATGTTGACGGGGCACCCAGTACGTAAGAGCAGTGCCCCAGCTAGGAGAGTACCCCACCCTGGGCTCCCGTGGAAACCCAGCCACTATCTTGCAGCGCTCTCCTCTCAACCCCATATCTCCAGAGCCAACCAGTTGGCAGCTGGCCCAAAGGGAAGATGTCCCCTCTTCCAGGTGTCCTTCTACCTGAGTGAGAGGGGGAGGAGCCCCGACAGTTTACATGGGACATCACCAGTCTCCTGGAGAAAAAGTGCAAGTGAGGTGACTTGCAATTTTACATTTCTCCTCCCTCATTCAGTACCGGGTTTATCTTAGGCTAGGAGTCTGTGAGCCAACATGTCTGCTCTATGGTTTCCTTATACTCGGATGGTCTCATTTCAATCTGCCCTCTCGGAAGCAAAACACAACAAAAAGTTCTGTTGTTTACAAGGAACAAATGAACGCGTCTGTCAGAAGTCTGTATTTGAGGCTGTTCGTGAGTGTGAGACCTGGGTCAAACAACACCCCTCCCCGCTACCACCGCCACCCCCAAACCCTTACTCCACAATAGACTCCATGGAGAGATAGACTGAGAGTCCAGTAGAGCTACTAAGGTGTACTTAAAACAGTTACACATTCCAACTAACTCTTGAACTCGCAGATACTTCACACCCTAATTCTTGTCTGCTTGCTTGAGTGCCCACAGGAGAGCTAAAAACCGTAACCACACACTTCTGAGTAAGATTCTCTGTACACTAAGCTGGGCGCAGGCCCTCTGGCAGAAAGGGCAACTTTGGGCGTTTCCCCCGCAGCCTCTATTAATATTCATTTGCATTCACTCCAAAGGTAATCAGGAAATGAAGGCGTGGCTTTTTCTGACTCGATATTTCAAGACATTGAGCTTCCTTTTGCTTCGTTTTCCTCCTGGCAGACCTGACGATCATTTTACAAGGTCGAACAACTCATTGACCTATTTGACTTGGCCCCAGGCGTGCTTCACACAGATTTCCTATCCTGAAGAACTGGGATAGAACTCCCTGGGGGAAGACACCCATTTTAATTGGCATACACCAGTCGTAGAATCAGTTACCACATTACAATTCCTTAACATTTGGAAGGATTTCAGAATTGCTATTGTTTTCCTGGTAAATGATTTGGATCGTATCGGTGGTCTTGGAATAAAGGCCACACAGTTTAAATGTAAGTTTCCATAAACTGTAACTCACTTCCTCAGCTCCTAGGGGATTTTCCCTGGCCCAGATTCAGGAAGCATTTTCATCAGTGGGATCCAAGACTTCGGAGACCAAGCATTTCCTGAAGACTTGCCTCTGCTTTCTGACCTCTACCTACCTCCTCCCCAAGAAATACAAAGAAACCATTTCTCATCAGTGCAGGCAGCCAAGCCTGCCAAGTCGACCTAAGGTGCAGGGTAAGGAAGGGAACACGAATCCAAGATTCTTTCCTGGCATTGTGGCACCTGAGGGCTTGAGTGCGTTAACCTCTTGCTTTGCGGCTGCAATTTTAATTACCCTCCTCTGCAGCTTTTCTGAAGAACTGATTTTGTACGTGGTGCCTTTTCATATCCCAGAAACCAACGATCATCACATAGGAGTGATGGTTAGGAGTCACGGCAGCCAAGAACCCTTAAATGATCAGACTCTGGCACATGCAGAGGTTTTGAAACTCATTAACTCAGTTCTGCTGCCTCTTCCCCCACAGCTTGTTAAAACCTGACCTGGGTGCGTGGGGTTATTGGTTTGGGGGTAGAATTTTGGAGCCAGTATTAGGAGATGTCCTGGCCTGTTGTGTGGAACCCAGTCACCCCATCTGGCCAGGAGCAGGGAGAGCTGGTAGAGTGATATGCCAGGCCCTTTCCCTGCCACTGAGCAATCCTCTGGTCTCCATCCCTCCCAAGTTCCGTGGGGATCTTCAAGGTCATGTTCTCCCACTTTACAAAACTGCAAATATCTTCGCGCATAATTTCAAAAGTCTTGTCTGAACTAGACTTTTTCTGCTCCTTTAGGGTAGGACTTTGCTTCCTCTCCATCCGGGCACCCTCCCTCGGCGCATTCCTGGGCCTGGTCCCTGGCCAGTGGACGCTCTGTTAATGGGACTTCGCGCTGGTGGGGTGTTCTAGGCACTGCCAAGACACCTCCTGGCACTTGCCACTAATTATCCCAATTCTCATCACATTTTTCCTTGTCTTCGTCAATGGATGCCTCTTGACAATCATGACCCCAGGTTCAGGATACAGGACCCCTGCCGGGCCTCCGATCTCCCTGGAGATGCTCTCCTGCCTTCCACGCCCCTCACCAAGCCACCCGAGCTCCCCGCAGTGCTGAGCCTGCGGCCAGGGACCCCTGGAGTCACAGTCCCGCCTGGGCTTGCAGCCGGGCCGAGCGGAGCCAGGTGGCGGCAGGCAGGGCGCACGGCCAGGGTGCCCGGCTCCGGGGCTGTCTGCAGGGTGGGGCCGTCCTCGCGGCCGCTCCCTCTCCGCGCCTTCCCCATCCCCAAAGAGGACACCCCTTCTTCCGCCGCCGCGGCGCCGCCTCCCCCCGCCCCCCGCCCGCCCGCGCTGGCCCGGAGCCCTCCAAGCAGCCAGCGAGCGAGCGTGGGGAGCGCTTGGGGATGGGACTTGGAGGCGGCGCCTACGGAAAAGACAGCGGCATCTGCGCGGGCTTCTCGCGCGGTTCCCACGAGCGCTCCCCGAGGCCAGCGCGCCTCCCAACCCGGCGAGGGGGCCCTCAAGGAACACCCCGGTGGTCGCGTCCCTGTCACTTCACGGGCGCCAGCGGCTGCCTGTGACCTGGGCTCGCTTCCCCGGGTTCCGCCCCTCCGGAGCATTTGTGTCCTGGAATGAAAA